GTTGAGTTTCTTGCATTAGGTGACCTCTGAACATTGGATTTCTTGTTCACGAACGTAAGAATACGTCATATTGAACGAAATATGTGAGCCGACCCCTTATTGGATTAGTGACAACCACTCTTAACTACTGACACCATAGGCCTCTTGAGGTGGCGTTTCTGCTTAATCCTTTGATGCGAATATTATTTTCGCAAGCAGTGAACTTCAACCACTCATGCTAGGCGGCACATGCTGATACCTGGCTGTTCTCGATGAGTTAATGCGCAAGAAATGATACGATTAGCTGTATGATTCAGTGATCAATCCGATAACTCGAATTCGAGCTGACATGGTGCGAGGAAAACTAATGAGATGCAGGCATACCTGGTTAAACCTGTTGATTTCAGTGTCGTTGGATGTGCCGCAGAATTTGTGATCAGATCAGCCGTGTGGAATGATACTGTTGGAGAGGATGGAATTCGTTTCAGATGCGATTGCAGTCGAAGAACAACGAACAAATTCGAGATCAAAATGATGCACGACGGAAGACCCATACAAAGTACCGTTTCAACTGTATTCATAACCTGAGATGCTCTCTCATTCAGCAATATGTTACGTCGAAAGCAAAAGAAAATTCTTAAAAGATATATTTGATGCTCATGCATTTCGATTTCTCCTAATTCGTTTGTTATCTGCGTTCATCTCCTGTTTACTTTCATGAAGATCAGACCTTGCGACTGGGACTTCTAAAGAGATAGGGATTCTATACCAGTATGAATGTACATTTCAAAGAAATGGTAATTCTTTGAATGTCGTTGTGTGAATGTAAAAAGTTTTGAAAAAACTTCAAAAGTGTTGACCAATTTATGCGGAGCGAAATCGAATTAATAATGAATTCAATCTCGATGAATTGATAATGTACATTCCGACAAATGCTAACTCACCGCATACAGTAGTTCATATTCCGGCAGAATATCACATTCACCCATTTCGTCGACATTTGCAACGAAAAGAATCCATGAATTAAACACGAACGATGCCATTAGTAATGCTCCACAGTGCCGTTGAGCTCTTGCTTTATTCATGGCACGACTGCAAAAAAAATCACACTGAATGACTCGATAAAACAATAAAGTCGCCTTTAGCGTGTTGAATAGGCAAGTGCAGTGGATCGTTTTGATGCACTTTCTAAAATATTCATTCTTGCGGTGAACTTATTTGCTTTCTTCATTCATTCATGCATTCAGTTGCTGGTATTTATGAAATTCTAACAGTCGTGAAGCATATCTAATGAATTTAGTTGAAAATAAACTTTAGAATGAAAAATGATGATGGTTCTTCAATAGAGATAACACTTTAGGATTCGATGTGTGATGTGGTGATAAAAGTTCTTTTGGTAAGATCAAATCACACTGTTTTGTGCTGCTGAATGTTGATTCAGAAAGATTTTGCATTTATTCAAGTAAATCTCGATAATTTCAAACTAATTGAGGACAATTTTCAATGATCATCAAAGGGCACTGTAACTGAATTCATCCAGCGATCGCATTCGTTTAAAATGAAGCGCATGAAGGAATCTCATTTGCTGCCAATGCATTCTGTCAATATCTTGAAAACACTGTTATCCAAAATTTTAAGACAACCACACACTTCAATGATACACTCGAACCGAACAGTTCAACAGCTACAAATTACATTGATTCGAGCAACAAGGGCTCGAGAACAAACTTCTGCTTAAACGGCAGAAAAAAANAGCAAACCTTCCTGTAGTATTTTGAAAAATACCATTGGAAACTTTTAAAATTAATGATAGGAATGAGTGTGATAACACCTGTGATAAACAGTGATTGTACTAATCCTAATAATGATATCATTGATAATAATTATAATGATGATAGAAACAACATCGATCGTACTAACAATAATAATAACAACGATAATGATACCAATAATTGCGATAACAAGCAAGTAAAAAACAAAAAGCTGCCTCGAATGATTAACATCAGTAAGACCGTCGCGTGACTAATGACTGCATCTGTTATTGCTTGTGCTCTTACTTAGGTCATTTAAATGCTCTAAGTATGACTCAATTTTCATTTTTTACATCATAGAAGAGAGCAATTCTTGAGACTGGATCTGCTCTTAAAGTGCCATCATTTGAAGACAATAATTATGTTCAGTTTTGGACCTTTTGAATGTGATCACCCATAAAACATCAGCACGCTTAGAAGTAGAAATGCACTGAATGTGACATAGTCCTCGAATGTAACTTGCTGAATTTCAACTCTTTATAGTTCCACTTCATTTCTTGCCTTCATTCAATTTCCCAGTGTCATCCGATGAATCGAGAAACAATTGTATGGCTTTGCAGAATGCATCTGATGAGTGAAGCCCGATCTGTGTTATGAAAGGGATGGGGTGAAGAGTGAATGGCTTACAGCTAGAGGAATGCCTTAAAAATAGGTCTTTTTTGAATCGAACGAGTTCGTCTGTCCCTAAATGGCTGTATAAAAATCACCTAGCTGCCAGTTTTGAAAAATTTTTTTCCATTCATACCTTGCGGAAATGGCTTTCAAATGCGAACAAATTTTCTGCAAGCGAAAGTGTTTTTTGAGTCGCGTAGCACTTCGTGCTATTCAATTTACTGTTGTTTACGAAATATTGAATGTCACACAACGCTATTACGTAATGTCACACATTCCATTGCGTGTATCCGGCACGAACTCATTCAGAACGGATGTTGAAATCGCATTTTCTGTTAAAATCTATTCGAAGGATCCCTCACACTAACGCGTTTGCTCACCTAAATTGCCACTGACCGCTATATTGTTGGGTGAATTTCAGAGTAATTTCTAAAATGCCGTTTGTTGCGGTTCATTTCACATTCATTTATGATGCATGCACTCTACGGGTAATAACCCCACTTTACGTATAATAACTTCTTTGATGGCCACAAACAAGTCACAACTTTTCAAAATCAGACAAATGTTTAGCGTCAATGCAAACGATTATGATGATGATGATTGACGGAAATCAGCAATTGAGTGCAATTATCGTCAGTTTTGTATGCGTCAGAGTCTAGGTTGTGCCAGTTGAAAAATGAAGAAAACATAATCAATGAGGCGGATAAATTTTTTTTCATTCGAACATACAAATTACAACGAATATATTTCAGTTACGCTTGAGAAAGCGCTGGGCGATCTCTTCAAAAATGTTTTTGCTACGGTAACCTTGAGAGGCCATGGAAACTTGCTGCATGAAAAGTGTAAGCATTCAGCGTGACGATTACATTTCCAAAAAAATGATCGCTGACAAATGGAATTCCCAGAGAAATGCATAGAGAATGACCATCAAAAACGATAAGTACCAGAAGCAGTAAAGGAGAAGTTTAGCAAATGATAATTGAATATATATTTTTTGGTAATCCACTTAAGAACCGATCGATCACTGACCTCTTCGAGCCAAAAGGTGAACAACGATATGAGGAAAAGACTGCTCATCGCGGACAACGTCAACAGATAAACATTCGACGGCAACTTCCTTAGAATTCGATTCGATCTGAAAAATTAAACTAACATAATATTGTTGGCGTGACTCTTCCGAGGATTATCTTCATCGCCCACTTATTCGGAGCAATACAATGTGATTATTATCAGTTAACACGACATTTTTCCTGATTGTTTCATACTTTTCAGTTACTTTAGATTTACACAATAAGCATCTGAATGCATTTGTTGATGTTTAAGTCCCATTCGTACTAATAAAGCTTGGGTTGACACCATAAGCTTGAGTTTGCGATCATGTTCGTGAAGGTGAGACTAAAATTATGACAAATGCTCCAGATGTCTCATGTGCTTCTTGCTGCATGTTGAATTTTTGAGAAATTATGTCCCACGAAGACAAGTGTGATTCAAACATGCTCTCTTGTGATGCGTTTTGATCTCTATTATGCATCGATCCACATTATTTATTCATAAGTTTTATCGGAGGAACGTTCGCACGAATTGTAGCTGTCAAGATCGCAGTTGGCAGTACATTCCCTATTCTATGAAACAGATTGCTCGCTGTGATATTGTCAGTGCTAGATTTCATAAATAATTCCTTGAAATTCTTTTGCGATTGACGAATGAAAGTGCATTTTATATCTCATGACATTCTAAATCAAACTAGTCGCATTAACACTAGCCGTTCTGAGAACCACAGCGCAACCAGTGCTCAATGAACACGCAATTTTCCGACGGTTACGATTGGACGATTTCGTTATTTGGACGTTTTTCGGATTTCTAATGTCATCCTACTAAAGAATTTGTTCCCAGATAAAGTTTTTTGCTTGCACCATGGAGACCAACTGCTTGAGATAACTCGAAGCCAAACAAACTGTGCGATTTTCAACAAAATCAGTGTTAGAAATTCCTCAGGGAATTCAATTGAAGCGTTGAAAATGCTCTCTGATAAGACACAAAATAGTCATCTCTTTCTTTTCCGGCTATGAACATCACTTCGAGCACAAACTTTCAAGGTCTGGCTATGCTAGAGCCAGAGAATTCCCCAATCGCATAAGAGAAAAATTCCGAAAAAGTATTGTTTCTCATTTCAATTTGAATCTCTTTTCGAAATTTAATTATGAAAATGTTGGTTAAGTGAGATGAAATAAAAACTTTCAGATTTCTTCTCACTATCCTTCGAGTGATAATGAGTGAATCTGAAAAAACATTGGAAATTTTAGATAGAATTTTAGACGTAGCAATTGTATGCGATCAATATTGGTTTTTTGTATTAACGCGGAAGTAATTGCGAAGTCGGTCGATTAGCCTATTAGCCGGATGATGATAAGGTATCGATTCAGCTTGAATCATGCCATCATCGCTGACAAATCCCTATTCGAAATATATCTATTGAAAATCATTTCCCATTGTTCTTCTTTCACGCGATGATGCATTCGAGCTCATTGAATATTTCACAATTAATATGCTGGCATTATATAAGCTCAAATTTACTTCCGACGTAACAGCGAAGAGCATTTGTAGATAAAACGAACAGCATTCATTCATCGAACTCAATGCATATTCTTCGCATCAACGCACAGGAAATGCTTGCCCTCTATATCGCACAGTTTCAACGAGTCACAATCAGAAATTTCATGTGTTTCCACGATTATGCACAATTTCCACGATGCTCCTTATCAATGCAGCTCAACAATATCACTTTGTATGCTTTCATTCGCTTCATGCATGCTTCAAAGGCTTATCGGAACAAGGAAATGATGACATTTTTTCAAATTTATCGCAAATTAACTATGAATTTATCGCTCTTCTAATCATTAATATGTAAGTCGTGACTAAAGGAAGTCGAAAGGTTCGCTTGGATGTTCATGCGGAAAAAACTGCAAAGGAAAGCCCATCTAAACACTCATTCTAG